TATGGGGATCTTATTATGACTTACCCAAAGCCATATTCTATCTACTTAAGGGGGACTATAAACTCCAAGCCTAACCTGAATCCTGAAATCCTAAAAACCTGGAGTCAAACTGTAGCCCTAAGCTGCCAGCCTCCCCTTAGCCTTGCGTAATTCAAGATTCAAATGTTTCTGCAAGCCCTAACTGCAAGCCCTAACTGCAATCCCCAAAGACTTTAAACCGAACCCTAGACCCGGAGCCCAAACCCTAGGCCATCGATCCGAAACCACAATTGCCCTTGGAGATTGCAGGCTGCAAGCTTCTAAGCCTTACATGTGGCCTGAACGACTGCGGACAGCTACGGAAGCCTTGCCCCAAGCTGCACAGGCTTTCTCACCTTGAGCGTTCGTGACATTGTTTGGGGGGTACATAGAAGACCTAGAAGGGTATGATAGGAATCCTAAACCCTAAACCCTAAACCCTATCTATATCTCAGGACTTGCAGGGATTTCCTGCAAAGAGGCAGCTTGGGCTTTATGATGTTTTATGCTGCAGCTAGGGTTTGATTAAGGTTTAGGGTTTAGGGTTAGTTTGTGAAAGGGGAGGCCCCGAAAGGGCCACACTGAAAATTGGGTCACTCAGTAGGATCCATTGAACTTACTAATGAGGGAATATAATCCCTATATGATCCCTATTCCCTTGTTCCCCACTAAGATCCATTAAGTGAAAAAAGACTCAGGTTGGGTGCCACTTAGAACGCTCATCAGAATCTTGATGTCTGTTCAAAAAAAGGTATGTGAGGTTGGTGATGGATTGTTCTGCCTCATCTTATTTATTTGGCTCCTTGCATAAATAAGTCATGTACTCTCACAGCTACTGTATGTATCTGTATTTTTGACTTACTGCCAGAAGTTGAATAGCATCCGTAACAATGCTATTATTACACTGCTACACTTACAAGACTGTTTTATGAGGTTCATGGAGCCAGCTCCACTATGTGAACTGTAGTCCTAACTCCTGCAAGGTAGGTTACGCAAAAGGTTCTATAGGGGACCATTGTAGGGTTTGGGGTTTAGGGTTTAGGGTTTAGGTTTAGGGTTCAGGGAACCCAAGCCAGCTCTACCATGTGCAGAGGTCTGCCGTGGCCTGGCTCATTTGCACAAGCACCGGCCAAAAATCTTCCACCGCCCTCGCGCCATGTTTATCTCAAGGGTGGATGGATCCTCATAGTGATCATTGTAGAATCCTTCGTAATTCCTTGGTAATGGTACTTATAATTATATTCTGCCTCCACACTACCTGAAGCACCAGTAACCTACGTGGCGATTTTTGTGAGAAACTAGGGTTTTTCCGTGGAGAGTTTGAATTTGGGGTAATTAGAGGGTTTTTCAAAAACCTAAGGAGTTCCTTTTTCTGGCAGTCCCCAAATGCAGGAGTATAGTAGTAAGGGGAAATCAAGGCAGACCCCCGTGTTTGCAAACTATTATGTGGAAGTTGATGATGTGTCAGATTTCGGTAGATTCCAACGCTACAGCCCCGCGTCTACATCCTTAACCCTGAGCTAGATTGCACAGGTGCCCACGAGGCCTTTTACTCATGTTTAGGCACTTCATGCAATGCGACGCCATGCTGGATGCCAGGTGATATCAAGAGCCAGAACATCCTCTTCAGTAGCGATGGTACGGCGAAGATAGCAGATTTTGGCTGCCTGGCACAAGTTTTGTGGATGTAGTTTGTGTGGTGCTCACTCTTGGAGGAGGGGATAGTTCTGTGTAGTAGTGTCCAGATCAATGAGAATCTTAGTTAATCTCTTTCCCCCCTTCCCCACTTCCCCACGAAGCACCCTGCAGTGGTTGCAACGGGGGCTTGATTTCCGGATTCGTTTGTTCTGCTGCGTGCCGTGTACGTTTGAGCGGCATCTTCCTGCAAGAGCCATGCTTGCTAGCATTTGAGCGAGCTCGTGGTCGGCGCTACTTGAGGCTTGGCCTGCATGGCGGCAGACAATGAAGTCTCTGAGATGGCTACCTCGCGCCGGCCTAAGTACCCTTTGGAGTAGGAAAGATGGTACCCCGGCATGTGCATTGCGGTCTTAACGTGTTCGACTGGTGCTTTCATTTGTTGGGCGATCTGGACAAGAGAACCCTTCCGCAAGCAACGTGTCGCCTAATACCTAGCGCAAGGATGCTCGTAGATCACTCTCAGGCAAGTTGCCGGTACAGTGGGCTATTCCGACCCACTGTACACCAGGCCACGTTGCATCGAGATAAGATAGCACATAGCTTGCCCCACGGCTACCACAAGCATTATTTGGCTGTGGGGGATAGCAGTGGGGCTGATGGTATTCCTCCCACAAAGGAGATCTTCTGAGTGTTGTTTTAGACCCCTCATAAGAAGCCCACTTCGCTGAATGGGGATCGCATTGCGGATTTTAGTATTGAGACCTTACAAAGCAAAGCCCTCTGGCTCCTTCTCTAAAGTGTGCTTCATCTTGCAATCCCAATCCTCAGACCAAATCGAGCCCCAGACCCGGGACCTTGGGCCCCCGCCAATTTCTTCATCGTTTTTCTTTGTCAGATGGCAGGACAGGCGTGGTGTCAGAATCCAGCGAATGCTACTCATTTGGGCAGGCCGGGGTCTCTGTCCGTGTTTGTCATGTCCTTGTTTATGGGATGCCTGGAATGATCGTGTAACCCTAAAACCTACAAACCCTATATAACCCCATTATAGTAGTTTCCATTTTCTTTTCCATTACCCCCTATGTTATACCCCTATATGTACCCTATAATCCCTACATCACCCATATACAACCCCTGCAATCTGTTTTTTCCTGGCAAGATCAGAAAGCTGGCCATCTCAGAGAAACCTAGACGCTAGGCAGCTCTGCTCAAAAGCAGGGCTCTAGCTGGGTATCAATTACTATAATGGGCTATATAGGGATTATAGGGTATATATTGGGGTTCTATTGGCATAATGGAAAAGAGCACGGAAACTATTATGTACCATCCGCAAAGGACTTCAAGAACGGTCCAAGGGTTTCGACCCAGCCCCGCGGTCGTCCTGCACCTCTTGAATTCCACCGCTGGGGTTTCCCAAATTAGGGGTACCATTTTGGTGGTCTCCATAATAAGGACTACAGTATATATTGAGGTCCCATTATTTTGGGCAACTACCCGTTATTTCATAGCAATCGCTTGGGCTGCCAGATAGGCGGGGGCAGTACAGACGTCGTGGAACGAAATGGAACTTGGATGAACTTGTGTTAAACTCATGGCAGCTGACTGTTGTGTCTGTCCTCTCTGCAACAACCTCTCTGAATCTGTCCATATGTCAGTAGCAAGAAGACAGAATACGCTCGTATAGGTATACGTTTATATGTACACATAACACATGTATAACCATGCATGTACATATATATATATGCGTGCCCATGTAGATGCATATGTTACAAATTGACAGTTACACTTGTATGTACATACATATGTATCCCTAAGACTCTTCAACAGTTCGGCGAGCCCTGATGGTCAGACATGCCAAGAGCCTGGCAGGTCCTCATAGAAATCCTGGTCGGCCGACCACCAGCCGTTTTGGCAAAAGATGGTCACAGCTGTGTCCGTGACTCAGTCAAAGTGATGCAGCTCATGTCTTACTGGGCTTGGGCTTAGGGTTTTTAATGGTTTAACGAGTATACAGTATGAGATTGTCATTCGCATGTAGGAGTTGCGTAGCTCTGAGATTGGGAGAACCATGGGAATAACAGTGCGCTCAAAAGGGGGTACAGACTATGCCGTCTGTTTGCTGAGGTGTTCTTAAGTGACGAGCTGCGGCCCAAAGAGGACTGGCGGGATGACGCACTGCAACTCTGGATGCCTGCAAGACTACGTTGCAAGCGTGAGAGGATCGTGCAAAAACGCGTGTGCTAAGTCGTCTCGACATGCGCCGGGAGCTTGGTCTTAGGGGTCAGGGCCATCCTGCTTCATTGCGGTTTAAAGGGTTATTAACCCTAAACCTACTATTTAGGGGTTAGGGTTTAGGGTCTAAACTCCTTACAGGGGATTCATTGCTTGGATTCACAGGCGCGCAGTGGCCTCTGTGCGCTGCCGCCGGCCTGGCTACATTGGCATTGCTGAAGGCTCAGACGCGACAGGTGCAAGGCAAGTTCATATCTTTAGTTGGAATTTGGCATATGAGTAGTATTTAATTTGTGGATAGTATGGTACCCAATATAGAGTAAGATTATATCCTCCTTTTGGTTATAGTATTTTATATAAGGAATATTATCTTACTAGGTTATCTTTAGGTGGAATTTGGCATATGGATCCCACCCTAGCAACAGTCCCTATAAAGTATACCCAGCTCACGGCTAGGCACCAGTAAGACATCCTACATGGGCCAAGGCTTTGCATCCATGAGGATGCTGACCGCCGACCCACCTTCCTGGAGGCAGGATTGCTTGCGAAGGATTTCGGCTCCTCCCTGGGAGATGTAAACTGGGAAGTCCATACTCCTGGGTATTAGGGAATGTAATAGGGTTATCTAGGGATAACGGAAAAGAAAATGGAAACTGTAGGGATTATAAGGATTATATATCTTCATATCATCCCCCTACACTTCTTCCCCAAAATTCCCTCTTCAACCGGAGACGTTTGAAGGCAACCGATATGCTCAGAGACTTGACTGCCGCGGCGGCAGCACAAGAAGCAGCGCAGGAGATGCGCTGTGATCCTTCCAGGTATCTGTGTTTCTTGGAATGGGGGTTTCCCAAAATTAGGGGTACCATTTTGGGGGTCCCAATAATAAGGACTATAGTATATTGGGGTCTATATTGGGGTCCCCTCCTTCTAGGTATCTGTGTTTCTTGAAATGTGGGTATTGGTCTAAATTCCCTATAATGCGGGGTCCTATATTTGGGTTCCCATTCTAATACAGATCCCTATATACATTTCCCCCATTTTGGGAACAGTAATTTAGGGAGACTACAATGTAGTTTTGGGGACCTCGGGCCCGTAAGTTGGTTAGGAGATTCCAGCTTTTCCGACTTCTGCTTGCAAAGTATACTGCTGAATGTCATTGTCAGTCCGCCACAGCACTCGCTCACTAAGTGCCAGCGCCATGTGGGTAGTTTCCAGAATTAGGGTCCCAACTTGCTCACTCTAAGTGCTTGGTGCCACACCAGAATTGCTACCGTAAAAGGGCCCAATATTTACGAATAGACCATGTGAATCGCACGCTGAGAGGATGGCGGCTGCCGCGATTCAGCCGAGCAGCAAGAGGTCTGCCATCAAGCAATCCCACTGGCCAAGCCCCAGGCCATTCTGACACCCGGCAGAGAGGACTCTACATCGGGCTGCTCTCCAGAAAATGCCCTGAAGCAGCCGGAGTTTCCCCAGCTGGAGTCAGCAGAGGTACTGGGCCAGCTGCTGCAGCACGCCCAGCACGTCAACCGCCCAGCTTTACAGGCTAACGCGACTGGGCAGAGGTCATCACCCTCCCGGAATTATGTACATCCAAAGCAGGGCCTTCCACTGGCCCAGGTCCATGTCAGGGCTTCTCCTGTCCAGCAGCACAGGCAACAGACACAAGCTTTGTCGCCAGGGACCTTGATGCAAATGTCACCCACTGCCGTCCAGGTCTGGCAACCTGTTTCCCCTGGTGGACCAAACGGGCCCAATGGACCAAATGCTCTACAACTCTTGCAAGTGGCAGCCTGCCCCCGCCCAATAAATCGACCCTGCGGTCCCTTGGGGGCTGCGTCCCCACACGGCGCACACCTGCAGATGACGCATGCAAAGTCCATGCAGGAGATGCAGGCGAGGTGTACCTAAGCTCCCAAAGTATGTAAAATAATAGCCTTAAACTCATAATAATAGCCATAAAGGCCATTGTTTTACATACTTTTGGGGTTCAAGTAGGGGTTAGGGTTCTTACATCGGGAAGAGAAGTTGGACGACTACGGTCGCAACCTGAGTTGTGGTCGCTTTACAGTCAAAGTAGTCGGTAGGTGGCAAACATCTCCAGGGTGGGAGCTTTCTTGTAGGGAACAACTGCATTGCAATTCTTCGGCCTGTAAGTAACGGGCACCACTCTTTTTCGGGAAGCTCCCCATGTTTTGTCAACTTCACGCAGGCAGGAGGTTGTTCCCCTTTCCTATCCCTTTGTAATCGCCGCATATCCCAGGTGTTCGCAAGGGCCGACTGTTTCGAGAAACCTCGTGTTGCCAAATGCAAATGTCTGCTTCAGCGAGGCGGAATCAAAAGGAATCGATCTTGGCCAACGTGCCAGCTCTCTTGTTCCGGCCTTATTCTGTTCAGGGATCCTACCCTTAATAATGGCGAATCAAACGGAAAATACAGTGGATAATTGCATGGAAGCTGGGTTATGTAGGAGTTAGGAGGGATACTTGCCAACGTAAGTCCTCTACAGCTCAAGCACAGCATGTAATGAGTATGACATCCCAAAACTTTAGTAGAAATGATTTCCTGAGTGAATGGGTGCTTTGGCTTTGCCTCCTTGAATGTGGGCAGTATGCCCGGCCAGCCCTAAACCCTAAACCCTACACCATACCACCCGGCCCAAACCCTGAACCCTACACCCTAAACCCTAAGCTCTAAACCCTGAACCCTAAACCCTAGACCCTGAACCCTACACCCCAGCCTACTTGAGGCAGCACCGGTTCTGGTTGGAGATCGACATCCGCCAGGCGTCGGCATCCTGAAGAGCTGGGTTGGGGTTTAACTGCGCAGCTCTGTCCCAATTCAACGAATGAAAGATGCCAAAAGATGCAAAAATGCTATATGAGCCATAGTCTAAACTCCTTAAAGAGGGTTATGAACGGGATTATATAGGGGACTACTATAGGAGTCATTCAGGGGGATACTAGGAGTTTAGACTATAGCTCATATTGTGCAAATGAACTATTGAAGCCAATGTTCGGAGGATCTTCGGGGCCTGGACCCCCAAAACGATGGTTCAGTTGGTTGTTAGTGAGGTGGAGCAGCATTCTCCCGGTCCATTTTAATCCTGTACTGGTATGTTTTTTCTTTGGAGTGGATACCTGACTCCTGGACTGCGGGACTGGTTTTCGAGCTGGTTACGGCACACATAAACTCCTCATTCAGTCCATCCTGAACAGACGCTGAAAGCCTGGAATCCTGGCTTTGGGTTGTGGATCTGCTTCGGGTCGACATGAAGCCTTCAGTAGTTTTCTTTGTTGAATATATGCCCATCATCACATATTCGAAGCCTAAGAAGCTCGTTTAAAAGCAGAACACGTAGGCAAATGCGGAGAAGGTTGCATATAGATATGTGTGTACATGTACAGGAGCCTCTGTTTTTTTGTTGAGAGTCTTCTAAGCTTGATAGGGTTCATGCCGTAGAAATATTGTTGGGGCTCACGGGAGGGTTCTCAACGCTATGGGCCCTTTGCCATACATACGCTATACCGCGTATTTTTTTGGGATCTACGCGGGAGGATCCTGTTCTTGAGGAACATTCGCATGCCCTGAATGAAGGTGCCGAAGAAGCTGTTGAAGGACAAACTGAATCTCTCTGAAAGCTTGTCTGCAGCGACTTGGGGCTTGCTACTTAGGTTTATGGTTCAGTACTTAACCGGGCCTTCGCAAAAGTAATGGCAGACACCAAGGGTTTACAGAACTTGCTTTTGTAGTCGTTGATTGAAGAGCGGGACAGCATGCCTCACTCTCGATGAACTGCTGCGCAGCTTCAGGGCGCCGGGCTGTGCTGAAAAAATCGCTACTGACCCCACGGGGCTTCTTTTGGGACTTCTTTGGTGGTGGCGGGAAGGAAGGGTACCCCTGCAATGTACATCGTTTTTTAAGAAACGGAAGTTTGACCTTCCCCAAAGCAGGTCTAAAAAAGAGCGCACTGCGACTGCTGACCACGTCCTCTTGCCTTTGGGGATGTGGCAGTTTGTTATATCAAAACCTATGCATCCCACGAGCGGCCGTGTCAAATCCCATCATCACTATGCATCAATCATGTGAACACATAAACGCTGAGAACGTCTGTTGTTGAGGCCTGAGGCTCAAGGTTTTTTTAGTAGATGTCTGCAACATACGCCAGCACGTCGGCGAGAGCAAGCACAACACTCTTCTCCACCCTCAACCCTAGACTCCTAGACCCAGCATCCATTCTGCCTACGCATCGCAGTTCATGGCTGGATTATGATTCAGCATGCCATATGCCGCCGCGAAACGCGAAACGTGCCGTGTCTTGGCTGCACTGCCAAAGTGGCTATGCGGGGTTTCCAAAAAGCCCTCTCTGGGGGTCCCTCGTATCAGGATTGTTGTTGGGGCATGTAAGGTTCCCGCCCAATTTGGGAAATGCCCAATCTAGATTCTTGAAGCGATGACTTTGTTTTGAAGTAGCTGTGTGTCTTTAACCGAATGACGAAGTCAGCTCGAGACTATCTCATACGCTTTGCGTCTGTCAATTTTGCAATCTACCCTTTGCCCCCTAATCCGTGAACCCCTAGCCCCAATCAACGACTGTCATATTGTGGCTGTGCAGAAGATACCTGGCTTTTCGATGTGAGGTGTATATATGTACAGCCATGGTAGATATGGATAGAACAGTAGCTATATAGATAGAGAAATGCCCAGCCTTGTGAATATCATTCATATATATATATACAATACAGTAGATAGAAAGAAGTCTTTTGCAGGCAGCCGCGGGGGCCAGCGAAGCTGCTGCATCAGGCATCATCGTGTATGCTGGATGAACAGTTTCATGGACCTATCCAGCCTGCAACAATACTCCTACCGCTCCCCTATTACGAAGACTGTATTATGGCGCGGAGTTTGCACATATTTATTCCTGCGTACGTGCTTTGAGAGCGATTTTTTCATTCTTGAAGTGGCTGTGAGCAGTTGACTTGTTTGAGGCCCTGCACAGAAGAAGAGGCCGCAGGGTTTTGCGTTTGCTGCGCAGCGGACGCATGGTTTGAGTTCGGATTGGTTGGGTGTTTTTAAACTTATTGAAGCTTATTTATCCCTGTCCAACTGTGCGTGGAATGGATCCCTAACCCAGTGCAGTACTAAAGCCAACCCCCTTTTGTTTGTTTTGCTCGATCTTCGCTGGCAGGTCACGGGGTGCAGAAGAGACTGTCGCTGCAAAAGCCACAGAGGCCCAACCCTTGTTGAGCTGCATTGCTGCTACGGAACTTGGGCTAAGTTGGCAATTATTTTCTCTAATTACTTTACCTTCACGTTCTGATAAATCAATTCCTTGTTGCTTTGTTGTGGCACGTCTTGGGAGGGAACCGCGGAATGGATTCATTACTATCCCCGACCCTGCCGGCATTTCCGGATTGTTTTGGGGGGACCCCCAGTTGCCTCCAATTTCAAGTCCCTGTAAAGTATATTGGATATTCAGGGGTCGGGGATGTTTTGTATTAGGCGGCGGGAGCTATCCTCTCGAGGCCAACGAGCCAACAGAAGCTCCGAAGGAAGTTGACGACACAGCGGGTGCACCTCAACTTGAAGGCGATGGCTGTGCTATGCCGGTTAGGATTTAGGATGCAGAACTACGGACCGTTGCTGTGAAGAGATGGCAGGACTGGCAGTCTACTATTATGGGGCAATTAGACATCAGCGTGTCCAAAGTTAATCACCTAATCCATCTCACATCCCTAAGATGGACCCCACAATGATCCTGATCGGCACAATAATCACATACGGAAAGCTCTGTTTTGAGCAGCTCCCGCATTCTGCCAGCTGCGGTGGATCCACTTTTCGATGCAAACTATTTGGGTTTGATTGTGCTTTGAGCTCAACAATTCCATTCTGATGCTGAAGACAGCCCAGTCTTGGGGCTTAGGAGATTTGTGGAGTTGTGAAACTTGTAATGCCTAGCATGGACTTCCAACAACTTAACTGAAAGTAAACCCTCTAAACTCCCTCAACTTCCAGCCCGCGACCTCTAAACATACATCCGCAAATCAGATGGGAGTTTCTTCACGTGATCTCCAGTTTAGGGTCTAGGGTTCAGGGTTCAGGGTTCAGGGTTTAGGGTTTAGGTTCCAGGGTTTAGGGTTTAGGGATCCTTGAAGGATCCCGCAATAATCTTCCCTGTATATTCCTAGAGACTCCTCCTCTTTTGATACCGTGCTTCTGTCCAGGAGAGCTTCCGAACGAGGCTACTCCCGAGGAGCTGACTCGGAAGCAGACTACAGGCAGTATAGGGGTTTCTCAGTATATAATATAATATACTATTTACTACATATATATATATATATCTTAGCATATATTGTATATAATGTACGGTATGTAATAGAATTAGTATACAAGTTTAGATTGTAGCTCATCTATCCTTGCGCATCCCTACAGCCCCCATCAAATGTCCTTGACCAAGGCACATGTACCCTAAACCCTAAACCCGAAACCCTAACATCTGGCAGGTAATACTGTGAGCAAACGCATCCGCTTCGCACCTGAGGAGTCCAAGTTTGCAGGGTTTGGGTTACAGGCTTTACGGGTTTGGGGCTGAGAGTTGAGAGTTTAAGGGTTTGGGGGTGATAGTCCCCCTTAAGTAGATAGAATATGGCTTTGGGTCTATTATAATAAGATCCCCATATACCGCATATTCTATCTACTTAAGGGGGTTTATTTGGGGTAGAGGGTTCAGGGCCTAAGGCTGAAGGTTGGAGTTGAGGGTTGAGGACTGGGGGTCTCCTCTTCTATGCCACTCAAAAGGAGGCATCCTTTTCAAGGAGGGAGCCGAAGCTTTTTTTTTATGACTGTTTCTTTGAGCTTGTTCTTACTAATGTTCTCATTCGGGTGGCAGTGAGGGCAGGTTTTCAGGTCTGGGTCCGGGCAAGCTTCATCCAGCTCTAAATAGTACCAGCGAAGAAACAGCTGTCACGGCCCTCCTTTGCGAGGACCCACTGCGAGATGTCGTGATCGGATACATAGGCGATGATGAAGAAGATCCACCACAGGCATACCGGAATGAATGGGATCTGATGATAATCAGACTCAAACTGAACTGGGCTGCGGAGTGGCTGGAATGAGAGTGAAAGGAGATCCAAAACATTGTTGTGACAGTAGCCTGGGTGCTACTCTCCAAACCCCTGTGGAATCTTCATTCTAGTGACAAGTACACGTCTCCAGGCATTAGCATCCTTACGCTTATTCTGAGCTGTGAAACGCCTTTTAAGGTTCTTCTCTGCCGTGCCGGACTATCTTCAGCTGAGTTAGAAACTACTTTCTTTAACGGGCTTGTAGCACTGCTTTTAACTTTCCTGCGTGGCTTTACCGGGGTTATCCTGATTTAGGTCGTTTATAACACCAGTAGTTACCAAGTCCGACAAGCCTCCACGTAGCCCTTTCGAGGGGTCAGTGGGTCCGCTGGAGTTGAGTAAGCTTCTATGCAGTGACGTCCTGGTATATATATATATGGTACCGCAGTACAGCACTTTTGCAGGTCCAGAGGCAAAAAGTGCTGAAATGTCCCTAAAAAACCAATCTTTTTGGAGAGCCTACCTTGGAGACCTAAAAAAGATTGTTCTTTTTTAAAGGTTTTTTAGGGACAGTACAGCACTTTTCATCAAAAGGATTGGTTTTCCAGGATTTCAAGATTCCTCTTTAAATCCTAATTGGAATTTAAAGGGAATTCATATAAAACAAAGCCGCTTCCAAAACTAGACTTCCAGGATTCCAAGATCTCTCCTTGATTGCTAATTGGATTTTATAAGGAATTTATATAAAGCAAAGCCACCTCCAAAACTAGACTTCCAGGATTCCAAGGTATCCTGTTAATTCCGAATGAGATTGTAAAAGGGATTTATATATATGTATAAACAAAGAAAGCCACCTTCAAAACCAGAAATCGGGATTTCAAGATTTCGCTTTAGTTCCTAATAGGTGTTTTTGAGGAATTTATATAAAACAAAACCACCTCCAAAACTAAAATTCCAGGATTCAAGATTCCCCTTTGCTTTCTTAGAAGATTGGAAAATGAATTCGTTCCAATCCCTACTTGGTTTTGAGAAAGAATTTATATAAAGAAAAGCCACCTTCAAAGCTAGAATTCCAGGATTTTAAAAGGCATTTCAGCTGGAGCAAAGCCACCTCCAAAACTAGAATTCCAGTATTCCAGGATTTGTCTTTACTCAACTGAAATGTAAAAGGAATTCATCCAGAAA